TGTGTATAAGAGACATGTTTCCTTCTTATTATTATTAATTTTGTATTAAAGAATAATTTTACAAAGGAAAGAAACATATATGGACATATTTTGCATATAATTATATGTGGAACTTTTTTCCCCGGGTAGTTAAACGTTATTCGATTCTAGCAACAAATATTTTTTGCTGTAGCGCCTAAATTTTAACAACTAATAAATTTAGCTTTGACAGTAATGATATTAGCTGTCCCTATTTTAGAGACACGCATTAGCTGCCACGGCTATATTTTAGCTGCGTTGGCCAATCTATACTCGTCTAACTTCTCTGTCATATTTTGCTCTATTATATCCACAAAAAGGCAAACAATGTGCACATAAGCTCATAAAAAGATATGCCGTGTATATGGGGATGATGTTTTAACAGAGCGCACAGCCGAAAGTGGTTTGTAAAATTTCGTTTTGGAGATTTCGACGTCAATGATGCGCCACGCTCCGATCGACCGAGATTGATTCAAGTGATGTCATGATCATCATCGAATAAAAATCCATCCCAATCGGCGCGGGAGATTGTTACGGCATTGAACAAGCATAGAAAAACCATTTGCGCCGCTTGGGATACGTTTCTCGGTTCAATGTTTGAGTGCCACGTTTAATCGAGGCCAGAACTTGAATTAATCTCGGTCGAGTGATCAGAGAGAGGCGCATCTTCGACGTCAAAATCTCCAGGATGAAATTTGACAAACCACTTGTGGCATGTGTGCATCCTCATATATATAGATATCGCTTGTTTTCAATAGTGAAGTTAGCGCGATTTTTTTCATTTCAGTAATGGTGGCAACTTACATTAGATATCAACAAATTCGCTCGCAATTTACATTAATCTGTTTTAACGAAGCTTTATAACCTTGTCGTCCAAATCTTTTAAATAACGTCCATAATCCATCTATAATAGAATCAATGTGTTTTACAATAAAATACATTGCTAATTAAGTTATATGCACTGTAGAGACAAAGGCACACAAAAGCCAACAATCAGGATTGAGAAAATAATTAAATGAGTAAATAAATAAATTAAAGAAAAAACAATTAAAAACTTAGGAATTACAAGATAATAAAAATCGTCAGTTTAATAAAAATGTATGTGTAAAACAAAGAATTAAAAATCAATAGTTAAAGTAAAATAAGAAAATAACGTCAATATTTAAAAGTAACTTATGCATATTAAGGGGGTATTCTAGTGTGAACGTCCGTTTTTAAGGTGATTTTTGAGAATTAATTTTATAAAAACGGTTAAACTTATAGACGTAATATTTTGTTTTTACATTTATACATATTTTGAAGTAACATCTCAAATTTTTTTAATGCTTTTTATTGAGAATTACACACGGCACGAATGGACGCGCAGGTCATGTTTTGA